TCAGCAAACAATGTAAATGTGGAAAGGGGATGGGCCCCAGATATGTAAGTAGGAAGAAAGCTAAGTAAATAAATGTAGGAAGATAATTAGCTTTCTTTGAAAATCAATATAGGATAGGTTGCTTTTCTTTGTAATATATAAATATTAGGCATTTTTCTCCATCATCTGATATTTTATAGACAACATGATGACTCAATAATTAAGAGAAGATTACAGTTATTGGTGAATAAGATATTAATTAGGAGATTTGGCTGCATGGTGACTAGTAGCAATAAAATATGTAAAGTAAAATGTATTATTCTCACAAAAGGTCCTTCCTACAGTATGTTTTCTCACTTTCCAAACATTGCACAAAGTGAAAACGTGTTATTAGTAATAGAATAGAAAGTGTGTAGGATCTCCAGCAGCTTTTGGGACGGTAGAGTAGATTATAATAGCAGCTGTTTGCCACATAATGGTGATGACAGACTGGAGGTCATGGTACCTTAGCACAGCCAGGCTAATGTTGGGCACATGAGCTATTTTGAAAATTACAGGACAGGCTGTGAGCGAGGAGTCTGTGTCATGTGGATGGAAAATAATAAGTAAATAAAAAACATGATTGAATTGAGGCAGGTGTAGAAGGAAACGAACAGAAGGGAGTTTTCACTTGCAGAAGATGAAAGCGGTGCGCACTGAATCACAGCACCTTTTGCCATCTTGATTGTGCCCCGTTACACGGACACGCTCCTTTCACAACATCATGGTATTTTGGGGGGAAATTAACAAACCGTCACGCTCAGGAATATTCCTATCGAGCATGTGAGGCGTATACTTTGCAAGGATATCACGGAGAATTCGGTTTTAATACACCTTTATAGGTGTTGCATCACCTTGCGTACCTGGCTGTCTCCGGTCCAGGGAAAAAAAAAAAACAGCAACCCCGCCTTCACTGCAGTAATGGTACTGACCGCCATTCCCTTCCGCACACCGCTCAGGAAATTGTATAACGAATTACCGCAACACAATAGATGGAAACGAGAGGTTTGACGGTGAGCCCTTTAAGCACTGTTATTGTGGAGGAATAGTACAGGAATAACCACCTTGTGCACCAAGCATTGCGCGTGCAGACTCACACGAGCTGCAGGAAGCATACAACCAATCCATACACAATAAGAAAAAAAAGCATAAAAGCGGAGATAAAACGTGCACAAGTGGGTCAGAAATGTGTGTCGAGGAGATAAATCCCGCGAGAATAAAACCAGGCGAGCGTCCATGCGAAGCTGGCATGGCACACACGGAGACAAACTACACAAAAATCATCTCTACCTGCACAAGTTGACATTTGGAGCGGTTTTCCTGGCTCCTACCGAGACAGAGGCTTTAGGGAACGGCGAGCAAATCCTCTTCCGGTAACGATCGAGAGCCGCAGGTGTTATTTCTGTTTATTTCTAGGCCGTTTGTCAGCCCCGTTATCCGCGTTCAGGTAAACATGATGATGAGGATGATGATGATGATGATGATGGCTCCTGTACGGACGCACAGAGTCACCGTCGTGTCGTCAGAAGGAGAAAAAAAAGGTGCTTTCCAGCCCCTCGGCTCACACACATTATGCCTCATAACGGTGTGTAAAAATATATAAATATATCCCTTTACTTTTTTTATTGGCTCATACGATGTCAGAGGGGGAGCACAGGTAAGGAACCGACCAATGAGGGTCTCTTGTTAAAAAGGGTTGTGTAAATGTACAAAAACCACGCCTAGATTATATTTTTATATCTTTACTTCATCACAGGTGGATTTAAAAAATAGTTTATGGTGTGAAAAGATGTTCAGACCCCGCAACACCTATTCTGAAATCATTCTTATAATAACTACTCCCTGTAGGTGATGTTATTACAACTATATTACAGCAGATACAAATACAACAAAAGAGGATCCGATAATGCCAACACTGACAGACAAATATATATACTAAAAGTCCATCGTTTTATAAGGCAAAATCGAAAGCTATGCTGATAAACAAAACCAAAAGCATTGCTTATAATGACCAAAATGCAGCAAACAACATTAATCTTCAGCATTGATATCCCGAATTAACAGGTGCAAAAAGAAACAGCAGCACATGTGCAATAGGAGCGATTTGCAAGACAATCAAAGAAAACTCACGCTAAACAACAAGAACAAAATGTAATTATTGAAGCTAACCTGGTGCAGGCAATGAGGAAATGCATGCATAAAGATATATTTGACCAAAAAAACTACTTGAGCAAGGTTAATAATATGATTTTGTACTCTTACCTTAACTAAGGGAACATGTGGTGCTGCAGTTGTGGCAGGGAGGGGTGAAGTGGAGATAAAATAAACATCCCATCTCTTTGCCATCAGCAGCAGCAGAGAACCAAACCCCATGCAAAGAATCCCATGCATCCACCATCCGGCCATCAAAACAAACAGATAAAGTGAACTATACTGACCAGGAGGGACAAACTGCACCGTCCGGGGCCGAGCGAGCAGCAACAACCTCGCCCTAAAAAAACGCACTAAAGTACAAACTGCACTCTAACGGGCCACGTTGTTATTCGTAAAGCCCCGCAACCTGCCGCCAAGTGCTGCAAAAGTGGCCGAAAAGTAGAGAAACAAAGATAGGAAAAGTGAAGTAAACTAATAATACAAGTACCAAGCGCTCCTCGGGGTTATTATAAGTGCCGGATAACGGTTCACTCTTGTCAGCCATGCATGCACCGCTAGGCGGAGAGAGCAGCCAGCAGCCAGGTATAACGGTACACCACCACCCTGGGATATAATACTGCACAAAACTCCTCGAAACGTGGTCCAACTCACTCCCCAAAAGTCACCAGAAGTAGTTAACCGAGTGAAAAGCTCTCCATTCGCCCGCATGGATCACCCAGCAAAGATTAGGCAGGAGTTTTTTACTTACCGCTGCTCCTCTTCGGGTTAGCCTGTTTTCTGCGCTTACACCTGGGGCCATCCGCCATGATCCTCTCGCTGAGTCTGAAGCGCAGCCGCTCGCTAGTCACCTCCTCCCTCCTCCCTCCTCCTGCTGTCTCCCCCCTCCTCTTCCTCACCCCTCCCTTCCCCTGTCCGCTTTACGACATCACCTTCTCCCCGCAAAAACACCTGGTTTGCGACACACTCGTCCGCCTTTACGGCATCACCTTCTGAAAACACCTCAACACGTGGCCCCTCCTACTGGCCGCACATGGGTGTGTGTTGTTTCCAAACTGTGGTCCTCCCGCCCTGTCAGGGACGTCCCGGGACACAAGCTCACGAATACATTAAATACAGAGGTGGAAGAAGTGCTCATAGCTTATACTTGAGTAAAAGAGTGTAGGAATACTTTTAACAAGTAAAAGTGCTGCATTGCAAATGTTACTCAAGTAAAAGTACACAAGTTTTAGCACGAACATATACTTAAGTGAAAGTACTCATTGTGCAGAATGGGCACTTTTTAAATATTATATTAAATATGTTTTATTTGTAATTATTGATCATTAAAGTGTTATCAAAGCTGGTAAAGGTGCAGCTAGTTTTAATGACTTTGTATACTGCAGGGTAGCTTGTGAATTTACTCCAGGTGTAAGTTAACTTATGTCTGATTTAAGTGTTGATTACATTTCATCATTAATCCAAATTTGCAAAGTAACTAAAGGTATTAAATAAATGTAGTGGAGTATACGATTTACCTCTGAATTGTAATTGAATAGAGGTACGAAGTAGCAACAACATTAAATACAAAACTACTAGTATCTCAAAATTGTACTAAAGTGCAGTACTTGAGTAAATGTACTTAGTTACTTCACATCACTGTTTAATGTTAGATACGTTTACATCTTTGGTAAATAAGTATGCATTATAAAGAAAGTAAATGAGCATATAACAGTATTGAAGAAGCAGTCAATTCAGCAAATTCTACAGTAAACTCCTCCTAACTTCATGTATACTCAGAATACCAAAAGTAAACACATTATGCAGAATGACTTATTTCATAGATTACTCTAATAGTGTTATTGACAGTGACTGTCTCTGCTCCTCATGACATCTGCAGAAATGGAAAATATTACAGAGAGGTTTCTCTCCACGGGGCGAAATGTAGAGATGAGTATGAGAGTAGAGCTGAAGGGCCATTTAAATGTCAATGTGACCTAATCTCATTGAGGAGGCTTTCTTTAAAGCAGCTATTATACAACGTAAAAAATACCAAATGGTATTAAATGAAAATGAAATGTACAAGTATTCCATTCGAGGTAGATGTTTTTTATTCATTAACTTATTCAATGATTAATTAATAATAGTACTAATGCTGCTTTTATGTGTCCACAAGGATTAATAGAAAAATACATAAAAAGCATTAAAAGTGAAATTAGTCTTTAGACAAAATGTCTCCTAGATACACATATATGAATGAAGAAATATATTCATTTATGTATTAACAAAGATATATATTTATATGTGTGTGTATGAAGATATATGTTTTAACGTGAAAGCAAAGGAATCTGCATCGGAGGAAATATAGGCCTTGCATTAGTAGTATAGTATAGCAAGTATAAAAGCTACAGCATACAGAAATATAGTATAGTACACTATAGTGTAGTATAGTATAACATAAAGTAAATTACAGTACAGTGTATAGTATAGCATAGTACAGTATATTACAATAAAGTATAGTACATAGTGCAGTATAGTGAAGTATAGTATAGTAAAATACATATAAATACAATTTGTCATTATGCAGCAGGGGGGTTACTCTGTTTTTTGGATTATCACCATTATTTAGATGCAAATTTCATTTGATGTCTGTTTGAGACGGCCACAGTCACGCCTGGTAAAACAATTAAACTGCACTTCACCTCCAGTAGTTCTTTCTTAATTTCAGTTGCAGTACAATTATATATTATAGTAGATATATATTATCATATATATATTGTCACACATTCTAGCACAGCTAACTCAAGTGTTTGTTTGTATTAATGACTTTCTTTGTCTTTGAGTTACCGTGGTCATTGGGTGAGGTTACTTCCTGGTTCAGTAAAGGGGCGTGGCTGAGGGCAGAGCACTGTTAAAAACTGCAAGGAGCCAATTGGGACAAATTGGGACAAAACACATGCTTCCATGTCAAAGGGGGGATTTGGGTTTGTTCTGATAGTCTTGATTACCCCTTGTTTTCTTTTTGGTTTGACCAAGCCTCTATATAGAGAACCGCAGTGACCTAAAACCCGGAAGTAAACTCCTTCCGGTTCCTTCGTCAAAAACCAATGCAATTTCTCCATAGGATTTTGGAAAATAGCTGGAAAAATAAGGTCTGTGGTTGAGACACATTTAAGAGACGGATCACGTTTTGTTCAGCCGGATAACATCCACATGTCTACCCTACTTTTATAATTTTCTAATCATAAATCTAGTCGCCAGAAGCAAAATGCTAACGTTATACTATAAATGAACTACAGCAAGGTTCGATGCTCACACCAACTTTAGATCCATATTCAAACATACAGATTCTAAATGGTACGAGTTGAAGCGTTTGTTTGAACAGTTTG